AGGATGGTCTCGATCTCCTGACCTCGTGATCCGCCCGTCTCGGCCTCCCAAAGTGCTGGGATTACAGGCTTGAGCCACCGCGCCCGGCCCAGACAAAGACTTTATGCAAAAGATGATGGTGCATGTGGGAAAAAGTCTAAATCTACCCAATTCTTACTCTATTATGTTCTCTACACCTCTCACCTCCAGAGAAAAGAACTCACATGGTATCAGCCTTCAAAAATAAACAGTGGACACCTTTCCAGAGCAGCATCCTGCTGGTCACCCCTCCTCTGTTCCTCTATCAAGCAGGCTGCAGAGACCAGGCGCAATGGCTCACATCTATAATCCCAGCACTTTAAGAGGCTAAGACTGGGGGATCACTTGAGCCCAGGAGTTTGAGACCAGCCTGGGTGATATAGGGAGACCCCATCTCTACAGGAAAAAAAAAAAAAAAAAAAGCCACGAGTGGTGAAGGCTGAGGCTGGACAACTACTTGAGCCTAGGAGATAGACGCTATAGTGAGCCATGTTTGCACCACTACACACCAGCCTGGGCAACAGAGTGAGACTCTGTTTCAAAAAATAAAAATAAAAAAGGAGGCTATTTATTTATTAACCACCCTATGGGGTCTAATTCCACCCCATGAAATCTATCAGTCCTGAGACTGGGTCGCATCTGGCCTCAAGCGAATGCTGCCTTGTGCTGTTCGAGCGATCTCTTCTTTTGCCCCAACTCAGCTGTAACCTCCTTGAGGGCAAGGGAAGAACCACGGATTTCTCCTCCTTCCCTGTAACCCCTAATGCAAAGGGGGATGTGGAATGTTCACTGAGAGAACTGAGTTACATAATCAGTCACAGGGTCTAGACAACCCCACAAATCAGCTATGTGAGTTTGGCTAAGCCGTTTTAACTTCTATGAGCCTTAATTTTTTCCTCAGGTATAAAATGAGGATACTATCATCTACTGTGGGACATGTAAAAATTAAGTGAGACTGTGCATATAAAAAGGCTTACACCATGACTGCTACATGGTAGGCACTCGATAAATGCTTGTCCCCTGTTTTGTGGTGACCTGAACCACGAACACCTAGGAAGTCCAAGGGGCCTTCTCGCAAGTCTAAAAGGGCGTGGAGGTAGGTGAGGCGACATGGGGGACAACAAGGTGACCCTCTGGCCCTGAGATGCTACCACACCCCGGGGGGCAGGGAAGCCAACCCCGTGAGCAACTGGACTATCCAAGCAGGCAACTCTGAAGAATGGAGACTAAAACAGGAGAGCCCCCGCCCACCACCCACACACTGGCTGGGGTCCGCAAGTCTGGTCTGTCTCTACTTCAGATAAATCACTCATGTTCACAACAGGGCCCTGAAGGCACCCTTAATGAGAAGAAAGGAAGAAGGGAGAGGGGACAGAGAAAAGGGAGGCACAAAGGAGGAAGAGGAGGGAGAAGAAACGAGAGCTGACAGGATGAAATCTGGGCTGCTCCTTCCAATCTCCGGCCCCTCTGGTCCATGTTTGTTTGTAACAGTAATCACTGCGCAAATACGGAGAGCAGCAGAGGGGGAAGAGGGAGCGCAGAGTGGGGAGACACACAGCAGCTGGAGACATGTTGCTCCGCTGGCCTGCTTCCCGTGCCTGCACTGAAGAGCTGCAAGCTTGCAGCGGTCTCTTGGCATCGGATACAGGAAGGTCTTCGATGCATTCCAGCTGGTTCGCGCTGCTAGCCACTCCGCCGGGCGGGTGTGTTCCACCGGGTGTGCTCAACCCAAAAGTGCCACGATGTCCAGGCTGGATTTCAGCAACTACAACGGACATGCGAGTCTCTTTCGTTCTCTCAGGAATTGCACAACCTCAGCTGGATGCGGTGTAATCCCACACTTTGGGAGGCTGAGGCGGGCGGATCACCTGAGGTCAGGAGTTTGAGACCAGCCTGGCCAACATGGTGAAACTCTGTCTCTACTAAAAATACAAAACTGAGCTGGGCGTGGTGCTGCATTGCCTGTAATCCCAGCTACCCAGACGGCTGAGGCGCGATAATAGCTTGAACCCAGGAGGCAGAGGTTGCAGTGAGCTGAGATCGTGCCATTCCACTCCAGCCTGGGCAACAGAGGGGGCGGGTGGGGGAAGGAACCGCACGATCTCTTCTGGGCTGTGTGCGAGGGCAGGTGGCTCCGCTGTGTCTAGCGGCTCTGTGCGTACGAGGCATGCCCACCACCATCGGAATGGAACATCTGCGTGGCTCCCTCTCCCCTTCTCCCCTTCTCCCAACCACACACAACTCAGTACACATTCTATGTGGCAGCTGGGGTTCAATTCAAGAAGCTGCTGGTCTGGAGCCAATTTGGTCCTATAACAAATGATATGGGAAACATCTGGAGATGTAGCAGGCGAGAACTAAAGCCTGCCCCTCACAGCAGGAGCACACACATCACATGTGGTTGTCACACAAAAATACTGGCTTCAGGGGTCTCCACTGGTCATCAGAAGAGGCATTAGTTCCATTCAGTCTTTTCTTGCCTCCCACCTGACTTCTTGAGGTGATCGAGGCCACTCTCCACCCTGCTGCCGGTGACATCTCACTAAGGCCCAGGCCCTGCTTACAGCCTGCAGTGTTTCCCATCAGCCCTGACTCAATGCCAAGTGGTCTTGCCAGCTTGAAGGTCCATCA